TCTCTCTCTCTCTCTCTATCTCTCTCTCTCAATCTCTCTCTCTCTCTCTCTCTCTCTCTCTCTTTCGTTCTCTCTCTCGCCAAAGCTATTAAGTCCCCCCAAAGGGATCAATTGTCTCCAGTGTGGTGGCTTGGTGCTTCTCCGTCGTACAAGAAAAAAACAAACACATGCGCTCGAGTCATTAGTGAAGAAAACTTTTATCGAGTATCTTGTTTGTTTGTTTGTTTGTTTGTTTGTTTGTTTGTTTGTTTGTTTGTTTGTTTAATTGTTGGGTTTTTGAGGTTGTTTTTATGGTTTAACATTTAAAAATATTTTTTAAAAATATTTCCATCTTCTATTTTTCCTTGGCGGGGGGGGGGGGGGTCTTAAGAAATGGGAATGTGTTTCGCCCCGTTCTTGTAACAACCTTCTGCAGCTTTCTCGTTCTTTACATGGGCCAAGGATAAATGTGAGGTGTGCTGACAACATGAGTTACTTCTCGCTTTCCTCAAATGGAGATATCGGCTAAAAATCGACATTAGGGTCAAACTTGTAGAATTTCTATCGATGCCATATTCTTTAACTACAACCTGTCTTATACTATTTTATAGTTATAAACTGTAAACACTTCACCTATAAGTGTGGTGTATCTATTTCCTTAAAGCTTGAATCGGAGAAGTAACTCATTTTGTCAGCAAACGTCACAAAGTGTCGCTTTCAAGCACAAGGCGGCTATCCCCCAAACATGCAGTCTCGAAAAAAAACGAAGATAAAGTTTTTGCCCCTTGTTCAATTTCTTTAAAAGTCAAGGAGATTTTGTTCTATAACCAAATAAATAAAACACACCAATGAAACCAAATTTCTCCTATAGGTAGGGCAATGCCCCCTTTTGGTGTAGGTCAAGATTCCTGGAAACCCCCAAAATCTGGGTTAGTCCGCTTGTTCTTAAAAGTGACCAAATAGCATTGCTCAACGTGGAATTCATTACTTTACTTGCAAGGAAAAAGACAAAGTCAGGTGCTGACAAGCCTGCCGTCTGTTATTTTTGTACGTGACAACTTCACAGACCCTGAAGAAATTGGTGGCAGACATGAAAAAAGAATGTCAGCTGAACAATCAGGATATTCTGGATAGACAGACCGTGGTGGAGGGCAAGCTACCGGTGAGTATCTCTTGAAATATTTATAGACAGACTGACGGTGGTGGGGGGCAAGCACGGGTGAGCATCTCTTGAAATATTTATAGATTTGTTCCCCAATAATATCCAGTTGTTGCTGTTGTTGTTGTTGTTGTTGTTGTTGTTGTTGCTGTTGTTGTTGCTGTTGTTGTTGTTGTTGTTATTGTTGTTGTTGTTCATATTGTTGTTGT